ATTGCCCAGTTCATCTCTGCCATGCAATAATGGTTGAGTATGTGTGCATGCATGACCAGCCCATACGGTCGATGACTCATCGTGCAGATGAACTACCTGAAACAACAGCGTTGTGGACTTCATCCGCTGCACTGCATAGCTGCTGGGGTTCTGTTAGGCATGCAGAGAGGTGGATTCCGCCTAAAACGGAGCGTGCATGAGCGTTTCTGCGGCTGCGCGGATGTTCCCGAACAGCCGACCGTTAATGAGGATGACTCATCCCTAGAAACCCTACTGGATGGGTGCGGAGGTGATTCACCATGTGTCTGTGTGCTATCCAAGGATGCCCTTGAGTCCAAACCCCAGAAAAGTGTCACGTTGTGCATAGTTTGTGTTTCCACTGAGAGTTCGTAACGACAGAGGAGGTTTGAGGTCACAATCTGCTTGGGGCCCTTTTTGCCTTCATGTTTCATTAATTAGTAAGACTCTCTGATTACAGCCTTAGCTTTCATTTACGGCTATTTTGAGAATGACATATAGTTTATGCACCGCCCACCTTATGCCTTCCAACTGTGGAGACTGCAGCTTTGGGCTCGAGAAAAACATCATTTATTCTTTGTTAAATAGGTTTTATGGTGGCTTTTTTATGCGCTTTTTTTTTCTCGTAGCTGGTAGAACATGCTGCTAGCAATGCCGAGGTCACTGATTCATTTCACAGGAATTGATCAAATGCACAGCTTGAATGCAGTATTGAGAGAGTTGCTTTAGTTAAAATGCAAGTAAAAGATGTTGATGTTCTTTGTAGACATACTTTATCATTCCAGTCCATTCAATGAAACTAATGGTAGAGACTGATATATGCAGAATTTACAAATAATATAATACATACATACATGCAAAAATAAATAGAGTAATTAAAGACGCCAGATTCATATTTTTACTCTTAAATTAGTTTGAGCTTTTTAGCATGAATTGTATATCTATATATTTTTTTACTATCAATACTTTTAAGAGACTCAGAAAGCATAAGAAATTCAACCAAATGCCTTAAAATGTAATTTAGCATTACTGTTTTTGTGTGTTTGTGTATATAAAATGATATAATTTATCATATACTTTTTGGTTTCTGTTCAACAAACATAAATAGATATTCCCAGAAATTTTTGCAATGACTACAGTAAAATAAAAAAGGCCTGGCAAAACTAAATGGCAACTGTTTGTGCTGCAAAAAAAACAAACATTTTATTGACATTTTAAATGGATATGGGGAAAGGTAATATAAAATGTGATAAAAACATAGAATATATCCTCTTTACAGGACTTGTGAAGGTTTTTATACCAAACTGCATCAAAAAACTTCAGAAAGACAGCGTAACCCAGAAGATTAAAGAACAATGATGAAAGCGCCATATCAAAAATTGTATTCTTCTCTCTCTTCTGTTTTTGCTGCTGGTTGCACTTTGCAGTCCAAACCTTCTGCAAGTTCTGCTTAGTAAGACTTCACCGGCCTTCTTCTAATGAGCTGCAGTGGAACCAGCTCCAGCAAACCCAACGGTCCACCCTATCAAGAAGTAATCACGACTCTAATCAGCCATAAAGATGATGTCTCAGCAGACAACAGGTGCAATGTAGCTGATCAGTATTCCGGTGGGACGAGACTTCCTTCCCAGAGAGAATGCATGGTAAGCAGTTCACCATCAGACCTGATGTGAGCCCTGGAGTGATTACATTCAAATGTATTCAGAAAATCCACATGAGAAGGATGAACAGTGACTCAACGTCAATATACGCTGAAATTCGCAAAGAGTACATGGAGATTAAACCACAACACATGGCTTGTTTGCTTTATGCTTTTTAATAAGCTGAGACATTGATTAAAGTGCTCCATATCCGTTGATATGCAGTGAAATCACAAAGCAAATGCAAACAAATGTTCGCCATTCCTAATATATACGGTACATCCACGGACATACAGCTATTTAAAAAAAAAAAAAAAAATGGCATTAAGGCATGTTTTTGCTGCTTCTAGCATTTTACTTTAAGTCACTTTAGATAGAAGTCTAGTCTTATGTTAGGTCGCAACTACTAACTGTTTTTTATGTTTGCATTTATCCACATTAGTTTCAAATCAATAAATGTTTGTAACCTTATCATGTTTGTCTGTCAGATGTTTTAAAGATTAGCCCTACCAGGAGTGGGGTTTGAACCCACGAGGACATTTGTCCATTGGATCTTAAGTCCAACGCCTTAACCATTCAGCCACCCTGATCACGTGTTAGTGGTTTTATGCTAGAATTTATCAACATTTGTTATAAGCAAATCATTTAAGGTCTTTTAAAGATCAGCCCTACCAGGAGTGGGGTTCGGATGCACAAAGACATTTGTCAATTGAATCAACGCCTTAACCACTCGGCCATCCTGGTAACATGTTAGGTGGTTAATCCTGTTAAGCCCACCTATACAAGTCTGATGAGCATTTCAGTGTACCAGAATGCCACTATGACTGTTTAAATGTTTGCTTTTACTTGGAGCGGGGTTCAAACCCATGAGGACATTTGTCCATTGGATCTTAAGTCCAACGCCTTTACCGCTCAGCCACCCTGGTCACATGTTAGTGGTTTTATGCTAGAATTTATCAACATTTGTTATAAGCAAATCAATCTTTGTCATGATGTTAGTGGTTTTATGCTAGAATTTATCAACATTTGTTATAAGCAAATCATTTAAGGTCTTTTAAAGATCAGCCCTACCAGGAGTGGGGTTCGTATGCACAAAGACATTTGTCAATTGAATCAACGCCTTAACCACTCGGCCATCCTGGTAACATGTTAGGTGGTTAATCCTATCAAGCCCACCTATACAAGTCTGATGAGCATTTCAGTGTACCAGAATGCCACTATGACTGTTTAAATGTTAAATGTTTGCTTTTACCTGGAGCGGGGTTCAAACCCATGAGGACATTTGTCCATTGGATCTTAAGTCCAACGCCTTTACCGCTCAGCCACCCTGGTCACATGTTAGTGGTTTTATGCTAGAATTTATCAACATTTGTTATAAGCAAATCAATCTTTGTCATGTATGTCTTTTAGGTCTTTTAAAGATCAGTCCTACCAGGAGTGGGGTTCGGATGCACAAAGACATTTGTCAGTTGAATCAACGCCTTAACCACTCGGCCATCCTGGGGTGCGTTTCCCAAAAGCAACTATGGTCACAAGTTCCGTCGTTACCAATAGAGTTCAATGGGACTTACCACCATAGTTAGCTAAGGATGCTTTTGGGAAACACCTCCCTGGTCAGTAAGTTGTAATCCTATCAAGCCCACCTATACAAGTCTGATGAGCATTTCATTGTACCAGTAAACTGTTATGACTGTTTTTTTTTTTTTAGATGTTTGCTTTTACCAGGAGTTGGGTTCGAGCCCACAAGGGAGTTTGTCCATTGGATCTTAAGTCCAACACCTTTACCACCTGGTCACATGTTTGGTGGTTATTACTCGGATTTTAATGCTTGCATTTATTTGTCAACATTTGTTACAGGCAAATCATTAGTTTCAAACCAATAAATGTTTACAGTCTTCTCATGGTTGTCTGTCAGATGACTTAAGGATTACCAGGAGTGAGGTACGAGGACACGAACCAACGAGGACATTTGTCCATTGGATCTTAAGTCCAACGCCTTAACCACTCGGCCATCCTGGTAAAATGTTAGATGGTTATTACTGTGGTTAATCTGAGGAGCATTGTTCGAGCCCACAAGGGAGTTTGTCCATTGGATCTTAAGTCCAACACCTTTACCACCTGGTCACTTGTTTGGTGGTTATTACTCGGATTTTAATGCTTGCATTTATTTGTCAACATTTGTTACAGGCAAATAATTAGTTTCAAACCAATAAATGTTTGCAGCCTTCTCATGGTTGTCTGTCAGATGACTTAAGGATTACCAGGAGTGGGGTTTGAACCCACGAAGACATTTGTCCATTGGATCTTAAGTCCAACGCCATAACCACTCGGCCATCCTGGTAACATGTTAGGTGGTTATGACTGTGGTTAATCCTGTCAAGCCCACCTATACAAGTCTGATGAGCATTTCAGTGTACCAGAATGCCACTATGACTGTTTAAATGTTAGCTTTTACCTGGAGCGGGGTTCAAACCCATGAGGACATTTGCCCATTGGATCTTAAGTCCAACGCCTTTACCACTCAGCCACCCTGGTCACATGTTAGGTGGCTGTTTTGTCATGTATTTCTTGACACACTGCACGATTTTAGCAATCCTATAAGATCATTGCAGTTCACACTGTGATCACTGTGAAAAGCATAAAAATCAAAGTAATAAACAGCTATCATGTGACCAGGGTGGCCGAGTGGGTAAGGCGTTGAGCGCACCGTTTTACCTGCTCAGCCATCCTGGTCATGTTAGTAAGATGTAATCCTATCAAGCCCACCTATACAAGTCTGATGAACATTTCACTGTACAAGTACACCATTATGAAAGTTTTTTTTAAATGCTTACTTTTACCAGGAGTGGGGTTCGAACCCAGTCCAATGCCTTAACCGCTCGGCCATCCAGGTGACATGCATTAGTATGGTTTGGCATTTTGTCCTGCACATCTTATCAAATTCAACCATACAATACATGCATCCTCAAGTTGCTCTTTTAGATAGCTTAAATATTTGTCCCCTACCACTCCGCCATCCTGGTCACATACTCGCTCAGTTTGTCCTGCATATCCGATCAAACTCAACCATACATGAATGCCAGGGCTGGGCAAAAAAATGACGTTGATTCAATATCAATTCTCAAAAGTGGCGAATCGATCTTTTCCGGTATTTATTTCAGCAAACACTTAAAACAAGATCTGGGGCCGTATGTATAAAGCCACTCAAAGTAAAAGTTTAGTCTTAAGTGTGTCACAATTCTAAGAATGCCGTAATTTTACTCTTATTCCTAGACTTAAGAATAAGAGTAATTCATCACTTAAGTCAATTCTTAGCAGCGTTCTTGAGAGTAATTCTCAGAGGCTTGATAAATATGGGCCCTTAATAATGTGAATCTTATCATTAGTCTTCTCCACTAAATGTCACCCTCTTATTTACCTTGCGCAATGTTACAACGGAAAGCCTGTCATTCATTCAGTGCTTATCTTGGCAGAGATACTGTTAACAAGAACCAAGAACCAAGAACAAAGCAATATGCGTGATTTGCAATGCTCAGGTAAAATTCTATAGTAATAGGCCTACTACAAATCTGTGAAAGCATTCGACATCACGCGTAAAGGCGCCATGATTTCCGCTATGAATGAATGAATGGCGGATGGTGCAACGCACTGTTTTGTTTACTACACACTTACTAAAGCGCGGACGATGCTCGCGGTGTTTTCAGCCTCTGTCGTCTCACTATGATGATATGAATACACGAATATCATCCCCAGCTGCTCTGAGAGTCACTTCATTAGCATTTTACCGTTTAATTTGACAAACTACTTTCATATCACATACACAGCAGCTGCAAGTTCCTCACGGCAACCCTTCAAAATAAAAGTTTAGCTTAATATGAAAAAACTGTCAGAAATAGATTACTATTTAGCAGTCTTAAGACTTAATGTAACAACAATGCTACTACTACTACTACTACTAATAAATATGAATAAATCTTTATTTTTAAAGGAATAATCACATTTGTTTTCTTTTTCATTTTAACAGTAAACCTCTGTTGTGCAGCACTTTGTTTGCCAAAAAATAAAAGGGTTTAATTTTCATTTGATTAGGATAAATTAAATTAATGTTTTATGCCTTCATCTGATTACCAGAAAAATTAAGAAGAACATTTTATAGGGCCCTATTATTGTTTAAAAAAGGACCCTATACAAAAAAAGAATAGGTTGAAAATACAGGCCTGTGGCTCTTAATTTCTTTTTATTAATTCACCATTTGTAAACTGATGTTTACCGTTCATTTTTTTTTAGAAATATCAATAGCATTTGTATTAAAACTATATTCATTTAATGTAATAAAAAAATCGAGAATCGAACCAAGAAATCGAATCGAATCGAGAGCTTGCGAATCAAAATCAAATCGAATCGTAACATCTGAATCGATGCCCAGCCCTAATGAATACATCCTCAAGTTTCTCTTTTAGATGTACATTACAAGCTATTGGAATTGCTATTCATATGAACCATAAAGGCCTGGTGTATCAAATATGATATTCAACAAAAACACATGCACATTTTTATATTTTGTCTAAAGGTTTAATAATCCATTTCATTACAAAAAATTATTTTTTTTAGATTTTTCTGAGTGTTATTTCATATGTCAGGCTTTACAGGGTTAAGCACTCTGATGTCCTCTGGAGCTTGGAGCTTGGTCCTAACTGCTCTGCCCCATTCAAATGAGTGGAAAAGCCTTCATTTATATGTGTGGCTGCTTTTATTTCTCTTCACTGGCAGAAAAGTGTCTTTTGGTGGAAGCACTAATTGGCATGTGCGACTGTGGTTTTCCCTTTCCCTTTTTTTATGAATGGGAGTTCTGGATTCCCCTCTTGGGATTTCATAAATCTACTCCCATGTAGATGTATTGATCTCTGTGTGTTCTGTGTCTCTATTCCTCTGTCACTCTCCTCTTGCTCACATCCCTGCCTGGCAGCATAAATGATGTCCACGGCCTGCGTCTCTCTCCCGCCGTGGTACCATAGCAACTGGAGCGATAGGGGAACACTGTGTTCCTTCGATCTGCAAGTGGGTCATGGACAAAACGACACGTACCGAACCATATTGAGTGGCTAGTGCTCCACACGGCTTTGCCGGTGACCTATATCACACGTCCAAACAGGAATCCCCATCGGCTGCAATGTCGACTGAGAGGTTTAGCGCTCGGATGCAAGCGCACAGCATGACAGCAATCCTGTTGTGTAAGCACAAATGTCTCAAATTGTTATTTACAGCAATGCAACAAGCAATCTTCAGTCGATATCTCGCTGAAAAGAGGCTATTTGGAGCATGCGAGTCAAGTTTGAAGTTGAACGTGTGGAGATTATTTAAGTGGTGAACCCAAGATAACAAAAAAAAATCTAGATAGTCAGATGATACAAAAACACCTCTTTAAAGAAATACAAGAGGTGTATTGCAGGAGCTGCATAACAAACATCTTCAAAATGTTTCCACAGAAACTAATAATACTATATAGAGGGTCAGTAAATCATCACAAAATTACATTTTTGGGTGCATTATTCTTTAAGAAGTGTCAATGCAAATATGTAGGCATGTTGACAGTAACTCATCAACTAAAATGACAAAAAAAAGCATTTTGTCTTGCATATGACAATATGCAGTGGATTTCAGAGGGACACACGCCATAGAGAACTACTATTTCATTATGATCTCAGTGTGGTCGGACCAGTGCAGGCTAAACTACTACATCATACTTGGATGTTGTCTTCATGTTTTACAACTTCAACAAAAACAATGGAAACCATCCCAATTCAAGAAAATGTAAGAGTTATTTTCAACTTAATGTCCCTGAGGTTTTTATTTTTTGTGTTAAATATAACAGATTTCAACTTTTTTCTTTTTGTTATATAACATTTTTTCCATGCCTTCGTCGCTTTTATGGTTTCATTTATCCTAAAATATGAAAATATGATATACATTTTTTGATTATGGTAAACTAAAGAGTGAAACAAAAACAATGGAAACCATCCCAATTCAAGAAAATGTAAGAGTTATTTTCAAATTAATGTCCCTGAGGTTTTTATTTTTTGTGTTAAATATAACAGATTTCAACTTTTTTCTTTTTGTTATATAACATTTTTTCCATGCCTTCGTCGTTTTTGGTTTTATTGAGTTTTATGTAGCTTTTATGGTTTCATTTATCCTAAAATATGAAAATATGATATACATTTTTTGATTATGGTAATCTAAAGAGTGAAATAATTATGAACTTCTAAACTAAATTTCAATATTAAACAGTTTGAAAGTGATTTGCATACTTACATTTTCTCACAAAGTATGACTGTTCCCCAAAATTATGTAAAAAATACAAAATTCAAGATAATTTGTGTATTATTATTTTTAATTATGAAATAAAATAATAATTAAATATTTGTTCAACTATGTCAAGCCAACATACAAGGTTTGTCAAATAAGCTGTTTTTCTAGTTAAAAAATAGTTAAATAAAATTATTTGAATTCATTTTATAATTCTGCTTCAATTGAATAATTAATTAAATAAAATTATATAAATAATAATCAAATAATAATTGAAATGAAAAAAGTATATAAATGTGTGTATTTAGGATAGGCTACATAAAATGTTTAAAATCTAAATGAATAATAATAATAAAAATGAAAATAAAATTTCCACCACCATCATTTTCATCACAGGGTGAATGGTAAGTTCTAGTTGAGGAAACGTCTATGAATGAATGGAAAACCTGTTTACACTAAATACACTTAAACTAGCTGGTTGGCATGTCAGAGGTTTCCTAAAGCACTTTTCTAGGCAGATGAACTTCCTGTGGGCGGAGTCCGCTTCACATTAGGCCTACTTCACTGTTAAATCTCCTTGTATGTACCTTCCTGTTACCCGTACAGGTAACAAGCAAAAGAAACTTAGCTAAAAGACTGGATTTAACTTTGCATGTAAGTGTCCGCATTACCTCCTCTCCTAGGTTCACGAAACGGTCGTCCATAAAATGCATTGCTGTTCTGTTGTAAGTGATCCAAATAAAGTGCTTTTGCTTTCGCACTGAAACACACAGCGTCTCCCTGACATGCTGCTTCAACACTAACTGCGGTTACTGACACCATGCCTTCTTTCTTTGCGTGCACATTTGCGGCGGGATTATGCAAATATTTCCACATAGTGGGGTAGATATGTGGGGGCGTGTTAGAATGAGCCGTTTTAGGGGGGCGTGGCAGAGTCTTAACTTTGATAAAGAATATCTCTTTGGTTTTGAGACTTTAGTCTTTGCAACTTCAGGGATCTTATCTATGCACAATCAGCTTGTAACACTCCAAAGAGAAAGGAAAACTTGAAATCGCATCATATGACCCCTTTAATGTGGTTTGTTCGTGCTTTTAAAAGTTGCATATTTTAATTGTTTATTTCCTGTGCTGCAAACTTTACCATTATAAGTGTTTTACTGTAAACATGTTTCCTGTTTGTTTATGCACTCTGCTGTAATTGATAGCAGAGGGCCATAGATTTTATGCCCAAAATATCTTGCAGTGTTGCTTTAAAAATCAGTGAGATTGCTGAAATATGGAGGTTGGAGGAGATCTTTTTGGTACATTTATACTCATGTATATTTGGAGAGATCAGATGTGCACATGCTCATGCAGTATTGACATGGTTTCTCCAAATGTCTCCTGCAGTGTCTTTGTTGCTCTAGGCGTTTCATGCTGCGGCCTGGCACTTGTTTCCCCATAATCTGTAGTCAAGGACAAAATGAGAAAGCCATCTCTGTGCCCAGAGGCCAGTGCCATACAGGAAACACATCAGCAGCGTGCCACAGCGGGTTCCTGGCACAGCCATGCCTGTCATCCGCAGCAGTGCTTGAATGAGGCTGGAAGACTGTGACATACAGTCTGAGCATTTTGTAGACTGGGTTTTGCATAATTCAGAATGTAAGAATTGGTTTGCAGTTCATGAGTGTGAATTTAAATCAAACTGGCCACACCTAACAGGAAGTTGAACTTAAATGTGAACTGGAATGACAGCGTGAGGAATTTATTGCAATTCAAAGAAATTCAACACAGGTCATGCATTCTGGGAAATTACGTTTTTCCACCACAGTCGACAAAAATATATATAAATATTATATATTTATACTAAGTATAGTGTATACCAAAAAGTAAAAAAAGTAGTATTTATAGTAGTAAAATATATAGCCTTGGTCCACAAAAAATAAATACAATTATATATATATATATATATATATCTTGTTCTATTATTATTGTTCTCTGTCTATAAAAATT